CCGCCAGCCTTGAGTGTCTTCATGGTCTCCGAAAGCATGGCCTGCCATTTCACGAGCTTCTCCTTGTCCATGTCCTCCTGCAAGTTGGTTGTGTACTCCAACCTGGGCTGATCCTCCTCCTTTTCTCCCTCCTCCTTCTTCCCCTCTTCCTCCTCCTCCTCCTCCTCCTCCTCCTCCTCCTCCTCCTCCTCCTCCTCCTCCTCCCCCTCCCACCTGCTTTCCCTCCTCCCTCCTCTCTCCTCCTCCACCTCCTCCCTCTCCTCGTCCTCCTCCTCCTCATTCTCCTCCTCATCCTCCTCTTCCCCCTCTTCCTCCTCCTCCTCCTCCTCCTCCTCCTCCTCCTCCTCCTCTCCCTCCTTCTCTCGCCGTCCTTTGGATAATCCCCTGGGCAACCCATCCACCGTCATATGCCGACTCCATATGGAGAGCAGCGCGTCGGCATTGGCGTCGGACGGGGGCCGCTTCGCGGCCGTGGCGCCTTTCTTGGGCATCCTCCGTGCCACGCCACAAGAACTCGAAACCAAAACGGCTATCAACGAGATAATGAACAAGGATGCGCATCCTGGCGCGATCGTATCCGCGTTTCTTTTGAGACTGTTGCATCTGTTTAAAACGAATGCGCGGCGCCAGGGCGAGAGCTGCGCAGAACCGGAGGAGGAGGGTGGGGAGGAGGAGGGGGAGGAGGAGGAGGAGGAGGGTGATCATGATGATGTTGAGTGCCATTGATGATGTTTTGTGATATCGAAACGAGAAAACGCATCCAGGTATAAGTCGACGCGCTTGGCGGGCGCTCAAGTTCTAGAATTAGCTTAAAACAACATGTTTGGTATATTTCACATGTCGGGGCTAAAAAAATAGTCCGGTTGTTATGTTGAGGGTCGGGACTAAAAAATAGTCCGGTTGGACCTCAGGGTTGACGGCGCTCCAGAACCTGCGCAAGCCCTGCTTGACAGCGCAGGGCGAGCTCATTCTCGGCCGCGCCTTTGCGAACGGAGCTGCCCTGCGCCGCGCGCTTGCTCAGCGAGGTCTGGTGCGCCGACTGCGACAGTCGGACCCGGAGGGCGCGCCGGGGCAGCCTTGTGGCCACGGCGGCGCGCGAGCAGGCCTGCCTTCCCCTGGCAGATGGGGGGCTTGGCGCGCGCAGCACTCGGGGAGCGCCGCCTGTCGGCTTCGCGGGCTCCTGGCCTGCCTGCCTGGCCGAAGTGCGCCGCGATCGAGCTCGGACTGCCGAGCTTCGAGGCTTTCGCCGCGGCCCGCCCCCGGATCTGGACGACGGTGGCGACAGAGGCGGGACGCTCGGCGGGCGCGGGCGCCGAGGTCTGGCCGCGCGCAGCAACGGCGAGCGAGGATAGAGCGCAGCGGCGCCTCGCGAGGCCGGCGCAGGAGTGGCGGCGCCCTCTCCTGCTCGCTTCTCCGCCGCCGCCGGAGCAGGCCAGCCTCCGCGCGGCCGGCGGGGAAGACGTCGTGAGCTGGCTGTTCCCGCCCGCGGAGCCGGGCCGCCCGGCGCTGGCCTTGCTGCGCCGATTGTCCCTGCCGCCAGAGGGCGGCCCAACTTGCCTCTGGCGCCGCCCCGACGGCGCCTGCTCGGGGCCGACCTGCGCGCAGAGCCTGTGCGTCCTCGTGGTTGTCCAGTCGATGACGGCGCGGCGTGGAAGCGCGGCGGCGTGCGGGACTGACTCGCGCGCTGGTTGGCGGCGCGGGGCGCCGCGGGCGCGCTTGGAGCAGTGCGCCCCTGCTCGGGGCAGGCCGCGCCCGGGCGGCTCCCTCGAGGCCGCGCGGCTGGACGTGGCCTTCGCCGACCTGGTCGCTGGGGCCGCTGACGCCGACGTGGCGATCGCCGACGCGCCCTGGGGCGCGGGCGCGGCCGCCGGGCGAGACCGCCGCGCGCGACGGGGCCGCGGCGGCAGCGACGGAGACCCGCAAGCAATGGCGCTGCCCGGGCTCCGCCCCGCTGGCCACCTTTGCCGCGGAAGCGCCGGGGCGCGCGGGGAAGGAGGCGCAGGCGCGCTCCTCCTGCAGCGTTGGGCGGACGGCGCTGGCCGGGCCGCGCGCGCCCGGCGCCGCCGGCGAACGGGGCCAGCGCGCCGGCTGGGCGGCGGGCGCCGCGCGGCTGCCGGGCGAGGCCGCCGTGAGCCACCGGGTCCTCGCGGAGCCGCGTTCCCGCGCGACGGAGTCTATAGGCCCTGGCCGGTCGACCCCTCCTTCTATAGGCCCTGGCCGGTCGACCCCTCCCCCGGGGGTGCCGCCCTTTGAGAGGGGAGGCGGAGGTGTCGACCGGCCCCCGACCACTGTGCTCTGGGCGGCGCGGGCGTACGCGCGTCCGCCGCCAGGAGGAGGAAGGAGGATGGGGGAGCAGGAGGGGGGAGGAGGGAGAAGAGGAGGAGGAGGAAGAGGAGGAGGAGAGGAGGAGGAGGAGGAGGAGGGAGGAGGAGGAGGGAGGAGAGAGGAGAGGAGGAGGAGGAGGAGGACAGGAGGAGGAGGAGAAGAGGACGAGGACGAGGAGGAGGAGGAGGAGGAGGAGGAGGAGGAGGAGGAAAAGGGAGGAGGACGAGGAGGAGGAGGAGGAGGAGGAGGAGGAGGAGGCGGAGGAGGGGGAGGAGGACAAGCTAGGTGCGCTCGCGTCATATTTGTCGTAATACCCTGCCATGCCGCTAATCCTTACATGCGCAAAATCGGACGTCGAGCAAGGCAGTAATGATCCCGAAAGGGTTTGCGACGCATGGTAAAGCGCGGCGCAGCATGGTGTATAGAAGAGCTCGGCAGAACGGAGCATGTCATAGTCTGATTTGGCGTTGCGCAACGCATCGCAAAACATGGCATCGCACAGCGGATCACAAGGCAACGTCACATTGCACGCCATGGCGTGGCACCGGGGGCCTTGGAGGGTAAGTGGCCCGTGCACGCAAAGCGAAGGTCTGTCCGGAATCCTGGCTCCGTGTATTGCGCAGTCGCACCTGCCCGATGTGGGCGTTTTCGAATGCCGAGTGCCGTTTGGTAGGGGTGCTCTAATCGTGTAATAAGGCCTCCCCCCTCCTTTCGACATGCTGCGTTGCGTTCCCCGAGCCCCCACTCAAGTCTCCCAGGGTTCCCCGGACAGCTCCGCGCGAGGCGTAGCGGATGGCCCGAAGACTTCCGGAAGCTTGGGGGAAAACGCAGAATTTGCCGACGGCGACATCGACGCAGACGACGACGACGACGGCGGCGGCGGGGGAAGCTGCGGCTGGCGAGGACGGATGTCACAGAATAGTACGGCGGGCTGCCAGGCTCGATAGTCTGTTCGTTGGACAATCGGGTCGCAGTGGGCCCCTGGACCCCTCACGGGGTCCAGTCGGACCGGCGTTTTCCAGCCGGATCGTTTTTTGGGGTCCCGGCGGGGCCCGACGAACGCACGCGGACGCGAAATAAAAATCGACGACGACGAGAACGACCACGCAGCGACAACGATGCGAAACCGGAAATTAGGGCGCGTAGCCTGACATAGCATGGCGCGGCGACGCCCCAAAGTGGGTGTGGTGTGGAGCTTTTGCGGCCCAAAAAAATCAACGAGTCGACACCGAGTAATAACTTCCGATGGTCTCTTCGCGGGGCCATTTTCTAGATTCTAGATTTTGGAGTTTTTTTGGAAGGATCGAACACCATACCGTGGCACGGCGCTGGAAATAATGACGCCTGCGCTGCAGCTGGAGCACGATTTGGAACGAGCGGAAGCGCGGAAATGAGGCCAGCGTTGCAGCAGGAACACGATTCGGAGGATGCGTAGCCTGACATAGCATGGCGTGGCGATGCCCCAAAGTCTGGGGGCGCTTTTGCCGCCCCAAAGAGTCAAAATAGTCGACACCGACTGTGTAATCACTTCCGATGTTTTTTTCGGGGGGGCATTCTCTAGATTTTGGAGCTTATTTGGAAGGACCGAAAACCATGCCGTGGCATGGCGCTGAAAAAAATGACGCCAGAACTTCAGCGGGAGCACGATTCGGATTGAGCGGAACCGCGGAAATGAGGCCAGCGTTGCAGCGGGAATATTATTCGGAGGACGCGTAGCCTGACATAGCATGACGTGGCGACGCCCCAAAGTGTGTGGGGGGCATTTGCGTCCCAGAAATCAACGAATCGACATCGACTGTGTAATCACTTCCGATGGTTTCTTCGCGGAGCCATTTTCTAGATTTTGGAGCTTATTTGGAAGGGCCAAATACCATGCCGTGGCATGGCGCTGGAAATACTGACGCCAGCGCTGCAGCGGGATCACGATTCGGAACGAGCGGAACCGCGGAAATGAGGCCAACGTTGCGGCGGGAACGCGATTCGGAGGACGCGTAGCCTGACATAGCACGTCGTTGCGACGCCCAGGGGCTCTTCTGCGGCCCCAAAGAATCAAAATAATCGACACCGACTGTGTAATCAGTTCCAATTGCCTTTTTCGGGAGGTATCTTTTTAGATTTGGGGGCCTGTTTGGAAGGATAGAAAACCATGCCGTGGCATGGCGCTGGAAATACTGACGGCGCCAGCGCTGCAGCGGGAGCACGATTCGGATTGAGCGAAAGCGCGGAAATGGGGCCAACATTGCAGCGGGAGAGCGATTTGGAATGAGCGGTAGCCCGAAAATGAGGCCAGCGCTTCAGCGAGAGCAGCATTTTGAAAACAAAGTTGAGCGAAAACCCGTTTCCCGGGAATCCTGCGTATAAAAGACCACTACGCGGACATATTCCGGACGTCACCAGGGGAGAGGAGGAGGAAGAAAGGAGGTGTGAGGAGGAGGAAGGAGGACCTTGGAGGAGGAGAAAGGATGTGGAAGGGAGGAGAAGGAGAAGGAGAGGGAGAAGGAGGAGGAGGAGGAGGAGGAGAAAGGAAGAGGTGGAAGAAGGAAGAAAGGAGGAGGAGGAGGAGGAGGAGGAGGGAGGCGAGGGAGGAGGGAGGGCGGGGGCAGGAGCAGGGAACGGGAGGGAGGCGGAAGGGGGGGGAGCGCCGCGGAGGGACTGGGGCCGCCCGCCGCGCCGAGCATCCACTGGCCCCCGGCCCGGGGGGTCGGCCGGACTGCCGGACACCAAGGGCTTCGGCTTCTGCTGTGCCTTCGCACACCTGGCTTCGCAGGAGGAGGCCGCGGCCGCCATCAAGAGGCTCGACGGGCAGGAGTGCCTCCTGCTACGCCTCCTCGTTGCCCTCGTCGCCTTCTCCTCCTCGTCATCCTCCATGCTGCGGGTCGCCCCCCCTCCGCCGACCCCCCCCTCCGCCGAGCCGTGATCATCGTGCTCCTCCTCCTCCTCCTCCTCCTCCTCCCGTCATCCTCATCCTCGTCCTCTTTCTCCTCTTCCTCCTCTCAGTTCCACTCTCCTCTCCGCTCTTCCTGTTCTTCCTCCTGCGGGTCGTCATTATCGGACACCGAGTCGTGGGCGGGGGTGTGGGGGCGATTCTGAATCACGCTTCAAGGGCTTTCCATCCTGATAGATCACGGCGGTCATACAGAGTTGCAGGGAGACCACGAGCTGAGTACCACCATCACCTGCTGGTCGTCCTGCTTCGTCTTCTGGCCTCGTCTTTCGCAGTCTGTCGCCTGGCGTCGCGTGTTGTCGTTTGTTGTCGTCGTGCCGTTGCCTGTTGCTGTTGTTGTTGTTGTTGCTGCTGTTGTTGTTGATGATGATGTTGTTGTTGATGTTCTTGTTGGTGTGGTTGTGGTTGTGGTTGTGGTTGTGGTTGTGGTTGTGGTTGTGGTTGTGGTTGTGGTTGTTGTTGTTGTTGTTGTTGTTGTGGTTGTGATTGTGATTGTGATTGTGGTTGTGGTTGTGGTTGTGGTTGTGGTTGTGATTGTGGTTGTGGTTGTGGTTGTGGTTGTGGTTGTGGTTGTGGTTGTGGTTGTGGTTGTGGTTGTGGTTGTGGTTGTGGTTGTTGTTGTTGTGGTTGTTGTTGTTGTTGTTGTTGTTGTTGTTGTTGTTGTTGTTGTTGTTGAATAGGAGCGGGCGCCGGCCCCCGGCGCCCCCCCCCCCCCCCCAACAACAACAACAACAACAACGCCGACGGCTCCCGCTCGAGACTTCCTCGCAATTCACTGAGGTTTGATGGAGTCCTCCACTGGGGCCCCGGCGCTCCCCCCCACGCCCCTACGTCCCCGCGCCCCCGCCCCCCCAGACACTCAACCTTATAGGGGTGCTACCAAAGCTGTGTGACCCCCTTTAGGGATTTTACCACAGCCGCGTGGATCCGTCTAGGGATTCTACGACAGGTGTAGGGATCCCTATAGGGATCCAACCACAGTTGTATGGATCGTAATAGGGGTCGCTCTACAGCTGTATGGGTCCTTATAGGGATCCTTCCGCAGCTGCATCGGTCCTTATAGGGATTCAATTATATTCGTATGGATCCCTAAAGGGATCCTACCACAGATGTTGAGCATCCCTACAGGCGTCCTACCACAGCTGTATCGGTCCCTAGATCTTACCACGTTTGTATGGATCCCTACAGGGAGCAGGCTGTATCTGTATGGCTCCCGATGGGGATCGTGCCACATCTGTATGGATCCTTACAGGGATCCTACCACAGCTGTGTGGACCCCTATAGGGATCAAACCACAGCTGCATCGGGCCCTGTAGGGATCGGACCACAGCTGTATGGATCCTTATAGATATCCTCATACAGTTGTGTGGACCCCGATACGGACCCTGCCACGGCTGTGTTGGTCCATAGGAATTCAATAGGGCCCCCCATAGGCATTCTATAGGTCACCATAGGAATTCTAGATGTCACACCATAGGAGTTATATCGGCCTCCATAGGAATTCTATAGGCCTCCATAGGGATTCTATATAGGTCCCCATAGGAATTCTGTAGGCTTCCATACGAATTCCATAGGCATCCATAGGAGTTCTATAGGCCTCCATAGGAATCCCATAGGCCCCCATACAAATTCTATTGGCTTCCTTAGGAATTCTATAGGCACCCATCGGACTTTTATAGGCCTCCATGGGAATTCTATATAGGCCCCCATCGGAATTCTATAGGCCTCCATCGGAATTCTATATAGGCCTCCATCGGAATTCTATAGGCCTCCATCGGAACTCTATAGGCTCCCCATAGGAATTCTATAGGCCTCCATAGGCATTCTATATAGGCCTCCATAGGAAATCTATCGCTCCCCATAGGAATTCTGTAGGCCTCCATCGGAATTCTATAGCCCTCCATACGAATTCTATATAGGCCTCCATCGGAATTTTATACGGATCCGTGTGGATCCCATACAGGCCGTATGGGATCTGTGTGGGGTCCCATACAGGCCGTATGGGATTTGTATCGGTTCCCATACATGCTGTATGGGATCTGTGCGGGATCCCATACAGGCCGTCTGGGCTCTGTATGGGATCCCATACAAAGGCCGTGCGGGACCTGCGTAGGATCCCATACAGGCCGTATGTGATTTGCATAGGAATTTTTAGGATTCCTATGGATCTTTAGGATTCGTAGGCATTCTATGAATTCCTAGGAATCTCGATTCATCTTTAGGAATCCTAGGAAATCTCAGGAATCCCTAGGAATTCTAGGAATTCCTAGGGATTTCGAGGACTCATAGGAATCCTAGGAATTCCTTTTGAATATTTTGGATTCCTAGGAGTTTATGAATTCCTTGGAAGCTCTCGGATTCCTTCGAATTCAACGAATTCCTGAGAACCTCTAGGATTCCTAGGAATTCCAGGAACCCTAGGAATTCCCTCGGAATTCCTAGGGTTCCTAGGAATTCCAGGATTCCTAGGAATTCCAGGAATCCTAGGAATTCTCAAGGAATTCCTTTGGATCCACCTCAAATAGGATCCTATTAGGGATGGATCCACCTCTAATAGGATCCTATTAGGTATGGATCCGCTTCAAATAGGATCCTATTAGGGATGGATCCACCTCTAATAGGATCCTATTAGGGATGGATCCACCTCTAATAGGATCCTATTAGGGATGGCACCAGGACTCGCTTCGCTTACGCGCGCACGCAAGTAAGCGAAGCGAGTCCGGTGTAAAGTGTTAATGGAGCTAGAAGGTTTTTTTTTATTTGAACCGGTCCGTTGTTGTTGTTGTGTTGTTGGGGGGGGGGGGGTGTTGGGGGCCCCCGGGGGCCGGGGACGACTCCTGCCCCCCCCTGGAGGAGAGCTCCGCACGTTCCCCGAGCGCCGGGGGCCAGGGAAGATCCCTAGCCTTGTTGTTGTTGTTGTTGTTGTTGTTGTTGTTGTTGTTGTTGTTGTTGTTGTTGTTGTTGAAAGTTAAGTACTCGACATTTTTTTGTTAGACCCCTTAAAGGCGCCCTGGGGCGCTCTCGCCGAGGCGCCGGGTACATTTTCATTGAAAATGAGGCTCACGCTCGAGCGGGTTGGGGGACCGCCCAAACCGGACCCCCAACAAATACAACGCTCCCGCTCGAGACTTCCTCCTTTTTTACTCAGGGCTGGTGTTCTTTCTCGCCGCCGAAAGCCGCCGTCCTAACAAAACCAGTGCTTCCGCTCGAGACATCCTCCCGCTTTTCCTTGGACTGGCGCGCTAGTCTTTCTCTCATCGGCGCCGCCCCCAGCAAAAACAGCGCTCCCGCTCGAGACTTCCGTCTTTTTTTACTCGAGACGGTGATCCTGATCCTCCTCGCCGCCGATAACCACCGCCCCGACAAAACCAGCGCTCCCGTCCGAGACTTCCTTCCGTTTACGCTGGATTGGCGCCCTACTCTCTTTTGAATTGGCGCCGCTCCCAGCAAAGACAACGCTCCCGCTCGAGGCTTCCTCCCTTTTTCCTGAAGACGGTGCTGTTCCTCGCCGCCGACAACCCCCGTCCCGACAAAACCACGGCTCCCGCTCGATGCTTTTCCCTTCTTATTCAAGGCGGTGTTCCTCCTCGCCGCCCGAAACCGCCGCCCCGATAAAACCAGCGCTCCCGCCCGAGACTTCCTTCCGTTTTACGCTGGACTGGCGCCCTACTCTTTTTTGAATTGGCGCCGCTCCCGGCAAAGACAACGCTCCCCCTCGAGATTTCCTTTCTTTTTCTTCGGGACGGTGTTGTTCCTCGCCGCCGACAGCCCCCGTCCCGACAAAACCACGGCTCCCGCTCGATGCTTCCTCCTTTCTTACTCAAGGCAGTGTTCCTCCTCGCCGCCGAAAGCCGCCGTCCCAACAAAACCAGCGTTCCCGCTCGAGACTTTGTTTGTTTTACTCTGGACTAGCGCCGTACTTTCTTCAGCATTGACGCCGCTCCCAGCAACAACAGCGCTCCCGCTCGAGACTTCCTCCCTTTCAGTTCAGGGCCAGGTCCTTGCCTCACCGCCCACAGCCCCCATCCCACCAAGGCAATCCTGTCGTTCGATACTTCCTTGTGCTTTACCCTTCGCTGGGGTTCCACTGGCGGTCTCGCATCGGCGCAGCAAGGCGCGGGCATGTTTTTTCGAGGCGGGATATGTTGAAATTCCTCGGAGGAGGTGTTTGCAAGACCTCATTGGGCGAGAGATCTGGGAATGGGAATAACGGACCCCGCTATACAACAAGAGTCCCCCATGATGTGCATGGCTAGGATCGGTGCTCCCGCTTGTGTCATCCTTGCAATTTAGTCAGGACCCCCGCGCCCATCTGAGACTTCCTCACAATTTACTCAGGAACGGCGCTCCCGCTTGGGACTTCCTCGCAATTGAATCAAGACTTCCTCGCAATTTAATCAAGACCTCCGCTCCCGCCAGAGAACCCTTTACATTTGAGAGAGCGTGATCCACCGCCGCTTTACTATGGAAAATTGCCAACCTTTTCCTCCGGAACCCGGGGGTCTCCCCCCCCCCCTCCTCCGAAAATCCCCCCCCCTGCTGGAACCCCCCCCCCCCCCCCTCCCTCCCCAAAACCCCCCCCCTCCCCTAACCCCTCCACCCCCCCCTCCCCCTCCCCCCTCGAAAACCGGGGGGGGTCACTACCGGTTCGAACCCCTCCCCCCCCCCCCCCCGGATCCGGAAAACCGGGGGGGTTCACTAGGGGTTGGACCCCCCCCCCGCCCCCCTCGAAAACCGGAGGGGGGTCACTACCGGTTCGACCCCCCCCCCACGCACCGCCAGCAAACGACTCCCGGTCCCTACCACCGCTCGCATGACATCCCCCACTGTTGTTCCCAGCACCACTGTCCTCACCACCACTGCCCCCGCTGGTTCCACCACCGTCCCTATTGTCCCCACCAGTGCCCCCACCACTGTCGCACTGTCCCCACTGTTCCCACAACTGTTCCCACCACGGTTCCACTCTCCCCACTGTCTCCACGGACCCAACCACTGCCTATCCCCACTGTCCCCACTGTCCCACTGACTCCTCCGCTGTCCCACTGAGCTGTCCCACTGTTCCCACCACTGTCCCCACTGTCCCCACCACTGTCCCCACTGTACCTCTGTCCCATTGTCCCACCGCCGTCCTCGCCACCGCCTTTACCAGTGTCCCCACCACCATTGTACCCTCCACTGTCCCAGTGTTTCCACCTCATTCCCACTGTCCCCACACCACTGTCCCCACCACCACCGTTCCCACCACTGTCCACTGTCCCCCCTGTTCCCACCATTGTCCCCACCACTGTCCCCACCACTACCGTCCCCACCACTGTCCCACTGTCCCACTGTCCCCACCACTGTCCCGCTGTCCCCTCACCACTGTCCCCACCAACACCGTCCCCACCACTGTCCGCACCCCCACTCGGTTTTCGAAGGGGGGGGGGGGGTTCGAACCGGTAGTGACCCCCCCGGTTTTCCGGAGGGGGGGGGGGGGAGGGGTTCGAACCGGTAGTGACCCCCCCCGGTTTTCCGCCAGGAGCGGTAGAACACGCTCTTTCTTACATTTTAATCAGGAACTGCGCTCTCACTTGTGACTTCCATGCAATTTATTCAGAAGTCACGCTTTCGACGCTCAGGAAACACGTTGCGCCAAGGACGCCGTTACAATTAACTTAGAAATCGTGCTCTCGCCATATTCAGGTATCCCGCTTGAGTGTCCCACCCGCCCGACCCGCCCGTCAGGGGATCGCCCGCCCGTCGTGGGCTCCCGCCCAAGACTTCTTTCAGGAACGGTGCTTTCGTCTAGGATTTCCTCGAACGTTCACGCTCTTACCTTCCTGCTCCTCCTCCCTCTCCCTCCTCCCTCCTTCCTCCTCTCCTCCCTTTTCTCTCCAACTTCTCTTCCCTCATCCTTTTGCCTCTCTGCCCTATCCCCTCTCCCTCCTCTCCCTCCTCCTTTCTCCCTCCCCTCTCTTGCCTCCTACCTCCCTCTTTCTTTCTTTCTCCCTCTCTTTCTCCCCCCTCTCTCTCTTTCTCTACCTTTCTCATCAGTATTTCTCTCTCTCTCTCTCTCTCTCTTTCTGCCTCTCATCAACCGCCCCCCTCGTCGCTCCTTCTCTCCTGGCGTTTTCCCTGTTCCTTCGTCCCTCCCCCTCCCTTCCTCCCACTTTTCCTCGTTCTCCCCCTCCTCTTTTTGCAGGGCCCACACATTCCGATGGCGGGCACATGTACGCACACGAAGGATCGTCCGCCCGTTCAGGTTTGCCCGCCTGTCTACGCCCGCCGCCCCCCGCAAAGAGAAATACTATTCGCAAAGGGGCTGTGATCGAAGACAAAAAGGGCGGGTATCTAGGGTGTGGGGAACCCGTTTTGAATGACACGCTGGCAAGTAAGAGCGAACAGTCTTAACATGATTGTTGTTGTTGATGATGCTGATGTTGATGGTGATGTTGGTGTTGATGTTGTTGTCGCCGTCGGCGTCAGAGTCGTCGCCGCTGTGTGGCCGGAGTAGACGAGGGCGGAGGGCCGCACCGCGTCTTTCGAAAAGCGTTGACATGGCCCTCCAAGGCCTTTGCGTCCTTACCGTGCATCCTTCTGATACGGGCCGACCACATTTGTCCTCATTTTCTCCCTCTCGGGTCTGCGGTGGGGCCCTCGACGCACATTTCTATCTGCCTCGAAGGCCGAGTCAGTTTCGACATCGCCGATGCATCGCCGACGCATCGGTGCGTCTCGGACTGTGCTCAGGGGTGGTGGTCTCTGGTTAACCCCGACTCGGAGTGGTGCCAGACGTGGCCTTGGCCCAACCAAGGTGCCCCCCCCCCATTGCTCCTCGCGCCATCCTGCGGCCCCCAGGGCCCTCAGAGCCTCGCGAGAGGCGAGCCCGAGGCCCGAGGAGCCTCCCGGGGAAGCCCGGGGGCACCCCTGAACCCCAGGACACCTTTGGCACCACCACCCGGCTGGCGCCGACCAGTCCGCGCGCCGTGCAGACAGGACGTCAGCGTGGAGGGCGCGGGCGGTGGCGTTCAGGACTGGTCGCCAGCGCCGCGGGTGAACCACACGGGTGCCCTGCGCGGCGGCGTGGCCCGCAGCTCCAACAAGCTCACGGTGAGGTACGCGTCGAGGGACCAGTCGCCGACGCACGAGCTGTATCCAGGGTGCCTCGCGGCCCGCAGTCCGCCGTTGCGGCCTCTTCGCCCCCCCTCGCCTCGCCGTCCCCTCGGGCCCCCCCCTCCCCAGGGCTCGTTTCGATCCCTACGATTCGATTCGATTCGGCTTCGACGGCCTCCGATTCCGATTCGATTCGACTTGGGATTCCGATTTGGCCTCCGATTTCTCATTGGAGGCGCACTGGCCTGCCGTTGTCCGCCGATTCGACTTATCCCGACTCGGCTGCCGATTTCCTCCAATCCGATTCATTCGGATCGCCGATGCGACTCATCGATTCGATTCTGGGCTCTCCTGCCCCCCCCGCCTCGCCGTCCCCCGGGGCCATGGCTGGTGTGGGGCACGCCTCGAACGGCTTTGAGCTGCTCTGCGCGCAGGCCCCCCCGCTCGAGTGCGGGCCAGCTCGCCACTCGCCCGCTGATCACTCGGCTGAGGGAGGGCGGGCGTCAAAGATCAGGGGGGAAAACAGCACACAGAGAGACAACTAGCCATCGATCCCCAGGAACATCTGGGAAATATGGTGAGTGGAGGGGAAGGCGATAGTCCAGAAAAAATGGAAATTGGGGAGTCCTGGGATTTTTGTCTATTTAGTTGTGCCTCCCTGGGCGCCCTTCAAAGAAGCCGTGCCCCCTTCCCCGCCCCCCCCCCCCCGCTCCCCTCTCCCGCCCCCCTGCGCACCCAGAGCAGCCCCGACGCCTTCCCCAGCAGCCCCCTCCCCCTTCCCCTAAACCACAACCGCCCCAGACTCCGACGCCCTGCCCTGCCCCCCGACGACCACGACCGCCACCGACGCCCACGACCACGACCGCACCCGACGCCCTGCCCTGCCCAGACGGCGCCCCCAATCCCCGTTGCCCTGGCCGCGACGACGACGACGGCCCCCGACCACCCCCGACCGCCCCTCCGACCCTGCTTGCTCTGCGCTGCTTCTTCTGCTCCCCTCCCTCCTCCTGGTCTGCGTTAGTTTGCTGTGTGTTGTTTTTCGCCCGTCTCCTTCTCCTCCTCCTCCTCCTCCTCCTCCTCCTTAGCAGGCTGGGCGGCACATTTTTCTCGGGCCAGAGGCCGCGCATCTGGGTGCCTTGGTGCGCTTGCTGGTGTCGTCGTTGCGTGCTTTGGTGTCTGTCACAACGTCGGCCCCCAGAGGTTCGGTGTCGTCCGCGAGGCTCATTTTTTAGCCAGAGTTGATGTTTGACAGTCGGCAGGCCCGCCACTTGTCTTGAGGTTTTGGAAGTCCGCCCCCGTTGAGTTCCAACTTATTTGGGGCGGCTGCGCCCGGGATATTGCGAAGACCTTACGGCCGGTGCCGCCGACCTTGAAGGGAGACGAGAACGATGACGACGATGACGACGACGACGACGACGACGACGACGACGACGACGACGACGATTACAGCGGCGGCGGCGGCGGCGGCAACGACGACGACGCTGACGTGGGCCAGAATCCTCAGGGCTGGTTCTTGGGATCTCTTCGGAAGTCTCTTGGGGGCCTCTGGGTAGGAATATGTTGGAATTGTGGGGCCTCTTGGGAGTCTCTCGGGGGCCTCTTGGGAGCCTCTTGGGGTCCTCTTCAGGCTTCCTGGGGACCTCTTGTGGGCCTCTTGGGGCCTCTGGGGGACCTCTTGCCTCCTGTGAGCCTCTTGGGGCCGAAGGCTCGAAATGTCCGTTCGGGTCCCCCGTCTGGGCACTCTCCTGGAGCCGCCTTGGAGGCCTCTTGGGCCGTCTTGGAGGCGTCTTGGGCCGTCTTGGGGCCCTCTTCGGCCGTTAGGGGACCCTCTTGGGGGCCTCTTGGGCCGTCTCGGGGCGATCTAGGGCCCTCTTGGGCCGTCTTGGCGCGTCGGGAAGCGGAAGAGGCAAGAACGCCAAACTCTGTCAAAAACGTATGGGAAATTAATGAATTTTGCCCTTGGGGCTCCCATGGGGAAGCTCCTGGAGGCCTCCTGGGGCGCTTTGCAGGCCGATGTCAAGGCGTCTTGGTCAGATCGTTCAGCAATTCGGGGTTCTCTTGGACGGACAGTCTTTGGGGCCTCTTGGCGCACTCTTGGCCCGTCTTGGGGCTTTTTTGGGCTCCGGGACTCCCCGGGGTATCTGACCCCCCATCCTCCCCCTAGGACCCCCCCCCCCCTGCGGGGGAGGGAGGGAGGGATCGAAGGGAAGGGGCTTCCCTTCGCCTCAATTACGACCTTGCGCAACTTCGCTTTGGCTGGCGCGCTGAGGAGGTCCCTGGGAAAGGGGGGAGCTTCGACGAGCCCAGGGAAAGGGGGAGGCAAGGAAAGGGGACGACAGAGACGACGACCAACGAATGACGGAGATGACGACTTGAACGGACAAGCCCCTCACACACGCCGACAGGGTCGGCGGATTTGTCGGCCGTGGAGTCCCGCGGGCCGCTACGCGCGCGCCAAGAAGATACAACATTCACCTATCTTGGCACCGCTCGGACGTGTGCATTTTTTCTCGGCGAGGACCATCGAGGAACATCTTCGATCATTCAGCGGAAAATACACGCACGAAATCGAAAATGCACGGAGAATGGACGTTCGAGCGATGGCGAGCTATCACCGGAGATTTTAGCACGCCTATGGCCCGTCCGGCCAGCGCGCAAGCTCCACATTTGGTGGATATAAGAGGCAATCTCCAGGTTGCGCCAAGGCTTCCAGGAAGCGTCGTGAGCTTCTGGACCGTTCGAGTCATGGCCTCCGGCCCGAGGATCTGAGGACGGCCAGTAGGCTCCTGATCTCACTGCTGCGGCGCTGTCACTGGCCACGCTCCCACCCCCTGCCCCCGCCAGTCGCCCCGGGCGGGGTCGGAGGGTCTGATGGGTTGGCCCGCCCACGTGGACGTCGCCGAGCTGGACGCCCTCTTCGCCTCCCTGGGGTTCTGCGTGGTCAAGTCCAGCCTGCTGCCCGACAGGACGTGGCCCAGACACCCGCGCGGAGAGGGCGGGCCCTGGCGGGCACGGGTCCGGGTGGCCTTTCGCCGCTCCTGCGGGGCACGAGGGACGGTCGGGAGAGCCTTTCGGGTCCAGGGCACGTTTTTATTAGGTCCCGTCTGAGCGACGCAAGAGAAGTGGGGTCGTCATTCGCCGACGTTGGCGCGCAAGCTGCCCGCGAGAGGTCACGCGTAAGCGCTTTCGTTGTCCAGGCAGCTTGCCGCGTCGGCCGCCCGCGCAAGCCACCGCGTAAGGTCGCCATGCTATCTCGTGTGAGACCCGTTGTTTGTCGTTGTTGCTCATGTCTCTTTCGTGCCGACTGACAGTGGGGGGCACGGTGGAGACAAGGGCTTGAACCATGTCGGCCTCCGAGGACCACTTCTGGGCACTCAACCAGTTGCCCCCCGTCCTCCATGTGCATGACCCTTCAGGGGAGGTTCCTAGGTCCACGATTGGTCACACTGTTTGTTCACCGAGCTTCCTTATCCCAGTCAGCACCTGGGCAGGAACCCCAACCAGACCGATCAGGACGGGGGCGCACGGTTCTGGCCCGGGTTGGCCTCCAAGGGAGCAGCCCAGGGCCAGATTTGGGCCCCGCTGGCTTTTTTGGTCCGGCGAGGGCCTTCGTTAATCTTGAGGGAAATCTTGGAGGCATCGCGCGGCGCGTAGTAGCTGTATTATCTAGTCAAAACGTCAGCTCCGCAAGCCATGGGTCGACGCTCGCGTGGCGATGCTCCGACGTACTCAGTCCGACGTGAACCCGAAGTTACTCCGACGAGGAGCCGACGTAAATCGGGTCGCGAGTTGCCGCGCAAGGCCTCCAGGATGATGTTCCCCACAACGAACAAAAATATATCTGGCAGGAAGGGGCTCGGCCTCTGTGGCGGCTTCGTGCACCTCGCCACGGCCCAGGAGGCCGCCGACGCCATCCGGCAGCTGCACGGGCACGAGATCCAGTGGGACGCCTCGGCTCCAGCCGACCAGGCGGGCGGGGGGAGCCCAGGCCTCGCGCCGCCGGGGACCGCCTCGTCGTTGTCGTCCTCGTCCTCGTCGTCGTCGTCGTCGTCGTCGTCGTCGTCGTCGCGCCGTTCCCCCTCCCCTTCTGCTCGAGAACACCCGTTCTCACGGGCTCGAGAGGCGCTCGGGGCTCCAGAGTCATCGGCGTGCGGAGTCCCGTGCCCCGGGCTCCGGGGCCGAGAGGGCCCTGGGCGAGTCGGGCCGAACGAAAGGGGGGGATTGGAGAAGGGGGGGTTACGAAATCTGCTGCATGCAGCTGGCTTCGGCCCCACCGAGGGGCCCATTCCTTGATACATAGCCGCCTCCGGCGCCGGGAGGCGCTGGGAAAATCAGCTACGTGAGCTGATTCTCAAACCCCCCCTTTGCTACCCCCCCCTTTCGCCTGGCCTGAGTGAGAAGCCGATCTCAGGATGGGGGGTCGCCGAGAGGTGCGGAGAAGGGGAGGAGGAGGGAGGAGGGAGGAGGGAGGAGGGAGGCGGGAGAAGGGAGGCGGGAGGAGGGAGGAGGGAGGCGGGAGGAGGGAGGAGGGAGGAGGGAGGGGGGAGGAAGGGCCGTGCCGCGACGTTGCGCCTCGCGTTCTTGGCCCGAGGGCTGCTCTTGTTCGGCGAGGCGGCGGACGAGCGCTGAGGCAGTTGCGCGTCGTGTTCCTCGCAGCGCGAAGGCTGGACCTCGATGGCCCGGCTCAGAGAGGCTTGCCATGGGCCTGCACCGAGGCCCCAACGTCGTGCATCTTGGACTCGGCCTCGAGTCGGTGCGCTCCTCCTGGCTTGCATCGCACGAGGTAGTGTTCCGTATGAGCAACGTCGAGGAAGTAAAACAACGCTATAAACATACACTTGTGGCGCTCCGCGCGGATTTCTTGGATCCGCGCTGGGCCCCCCCGGCGGCGCCAGGGGCACCGCCCCTGGCGCGCTGCGCGCCAGGTAGGGGGGTCAGCGCAGATCCAAGGAATCCGCGCGGAGCGCCACAAGTTCATGTTTATGGCGTTTTTCTTTGTTTATAGTGCTCCATTTGATAAATGGCCACGGCGCACACATCACGTCCCATTTAGATGCCTTTCGAGTGATGTCAGCGGACGTCACTTGGAACGTGGCGGCATGCGATCGCACTTGCCTGATACACGTTCTCGTTGCGGATTTTTTGATTGCGCGCGCGCGTGTCACGTGCTTCCTAAAACGGTTAGGCGATGTCCATAGTTCAGCCGCCAGCAAACATGGCGCGGCGACGACGGCCGCGACTAAAGATATCGATCAATTTGGGTATATCGACATGGCACGTGTGGGCATCACTAGTTATGAACTCAAGGATGAGATGGGATGGCAAGGGACTAACAGCAGAGCGTTCTATTTCGGGGGTCAGGCTTGGTGGGGCGAGTGCTGCTAGCAGCTGTCCCTGATCACCTCGGACATGTCATAACGTGCTGTGACCTCGTGTGCGCTACTTGGCCAATGAAGAAAAGAGTGCGTAGGAGGAGGATCATGAGCAGGAGCTAACGTGCTCCCTGAACGTTCTCGATTCCTTCCCCGGGGAGTGTTTCCCGTCCTGGGCATTTTCTTGACGGTACAGGGTCCTTGACCGTTGCTCCTTGGTGGCCGAAGCCGAGGAGGAACGCTGGCATGGAAAATAAGTCACAGACTCGGACGTCGAGGGATGTTTCCATCAGCTGAGCAGGGAGGGGGTGGCTCAGGCGCAGTGGCTGCAGCCCAAGCGGCGGAGACTCGAGCCGCCGGCTGGCGACCAGGAGGCTGGCTGACCTGGTGGCGCGAGGCCCGTCGGCCCGCTCCGTCCCTTCCCCCCCCCCGTTTGCGTGGCCTTCCCCCGCACAGACCAGCTGCAACCGGGGGAGCCTCGGTCGTGAGCCTCCTGGGGATCCCTCCGGTCTCGACACGTGCGATGGGTTCCAGAGGGGGTAAGGAACCCAGCCCCCTCCCAGGTGTGGCTGGTCAGTGTCGCGCTCCCCTGCCCATCCGCCCTTTTCCCGTCCCTTGCGTCTCCCTTCCCCTTTCTTGTCCGCATCTCCCCTCCCCTTCTGTCCGCAACCCGAACCCCCTCTCATCACGGACGCCAATTTGCGAGGGCTCCGCTCACTTGCCGCCAGCCTCATGCGAGCCAAGGGCCATTCGCATGTCACCGCATATTTTTGCACACATTGGGACCCATCCTACGATCCCGTAGTGGATGCCACGGTGCCGTTATGTTTCGATATTGTGACTGGGTTTGGCCAACATATGCCCAGGTTCCGATCTGCGCAAGGCATGGGAAGTAGCCAATACCAAGCTCAGTAGCGCCCCACACTGGGTCCACAGTGCAGGGACCGATGGGAGCCACCATGCTTTCCGCTTTCCTTGATAAGAGTAGGATGTTCGTTGGCCAGCCCGCACAACATGTGAACGGAGGTTGGCCATATCTTTTATCTGTTTGCCACCTGCCCCAGCGATGTACTCGCGATTTTGCGTGAAGGTATCAACCGCGCTCAGTGTGTCCAGCTCTTGTCCAGCCTCCCCGAGGCTTCGGGACACGTGGTCGTCTGGGGCAGGGTTCTGAGATAAAGAGGTTCAGCGTATCAAGGACCCAGCTAGGCAAGCAGGCGTCAGATCTGTGTTGAGCTGGGCCACGTGCCCGCAAGCCAAGAAGTTCGATCACGGCTTTGCAGAATCTAACCAGTGCGATTTTTCGCAAGGGGGCGGTCGGCTAGCAGGCACGTTTGGGCATCATATTTACGGTTGTGACGCGTTGTGGATTGCGGATGAAGAAGACCTAAGCGCAGCTTCCGTCTCGCCCGAACAGGTTCAGGAGCACTAGCAATGGCTGAACGACATTAGGGCGAACGGTATTTCCCCCGACTTCGATTCGGTTGAGTTGGTGTACGGTCTCCCCATCTTCGCTTTGGAGTGCCCGCCCACTGCGCAGCCTGGCCCCGTTTTTGAGTGGGGTGCCGTGCCCCGTCCGTGGGGTTTCCGATTGTACACGGACGGATTTGATTTTGGCTGCTTGAGGCGACCAGGTGTGGCGCGGGCTGGTGTCGAACTCTCGCCAGGCCTACAGGGAGGGCGACTCACCAGCGGGCCCGTCGCGCGAGGGTGCCAGACTGCCTCGGGCCGAGCGGCAGGCCATCTTCCGGGCCTTGCGCGTCGGCCCCCTGGAGGCCCGAGACTGCTTCGGACGACACGTCCGCCGTCAAGGAGGGACTGGCTTGGGACCCCGAGCCAGAAACAAGGGAGAAAAGCCACCCCGACCCCGATCATTGGCGTTTGTTGAACGGCCCTGAGCGTTTACGAAACAGCCATCCCCTGTTCAATTCTTTCCTCGAGTGCGTCTACAAAACGGCTTCGCTTGTCGGGGTGCTTAATAGGAGGGTGGACGTTCTGCTCTCTATAGAAGCTAATTCAGGCAAGCACGCGTCTGTCTGGAAGTTTTCTGTTATCCGTTGTTCTGCGTGGAGGTTGGAGCGACCAAGGTTCAGATGGACCCTGGCCCACTTAGACCTGCAGCATATTCTCGCGAGCCAAGCAGGTTCCACGAGTGAAGTTGGGCAACTGGTGCTCGACTACAGTCGGCCCGGGGTAGTAAGCCGACCTTGTTAAATCGAAGGTTCCGTTTCGTCCAGTGTTTCGCGACCTCTGTTTTCTGCATTCCTACGGCAACGTGGCCCTCGGAAGGGTCTTGTGCACTCCTCGCGTGTCCTCTCCAATCAAGTCTGACTGTACCTCGGGGCTGCTTTTTTGCGCGCTTGGGAGCGGAGTCCCATGCAGTGCCAGATTTCAGTGTTTCCCTTCTTAGGCAGCAGCTCAAGGATGCACATCGCACTCTCGATGTTGTAAGCAGGTCCTCTCATCATGCTGCCGCGGAGGCCCCAGCAAGCGCCTCCAGTGCGGAAAGGCGCGGGGGCCACGTCCCCCATTTCGCTTGGCCCTGTCACGACTTGGAGGCGGTGGAGGAGAGGTGCGCTGCACGTGGTGCCACTGTTCGGCCATGGCCCGCATCAGCAGGGCCATGGTCGAGCAGCCTGGTGCAGGCTGCTGTCCGACCCCGCTGCACCTTTCCCTTTCCGGCGGTGAGGGCCTGGCGGCACGGTGGCGCCCTGAGGTGCAGTGTGCTGCGGTCCTGGCTGCCCTCAGTAAGCTCAAGGACTGGCTTGCGCTCGAGGAAGGACACGGCACATAGGGCACATTCCGCCCATCGTACGATTACAATGTCAAGTCCTGCTCTTCATGGCTGCGCGCATGCAACCGTAACACTGTTGTGCTTCGGATTTGATCGCATCTTCATCATGGTACGGGAGTCACATATGTCATTGCGCGCCGAAGTTCGACGCTTGAGACCAGAGATTTTGAGGTTGACGACTAAGCTGGATGTATTATGCATTTTCTCTTGTAGCAAAGAGGGGCGCAACACAATTCAAACGGGTTCGATGCTCACACAAGAGAGTTCCTGGTGAGACTTCAGCTGAAGGGTCGCCCAAAAACAAAACTGGCTTGTTATTTCACTCCTGCGCGTGAAGGGTCGTCGTCCGTGCAGTCACGAAGTGAAAGCGAATTTCACATGGCATCGCAAAATGGAAGCTCGCATGACAATCCACGGGCACGTTGCCCGAGATACAAAGTAGCACCGTGTTTTATCCCGAGGCATGCAGGCTATCATTTGCAAGGCGTATTCAAAATAACGTGCGTACAATTCTTGAGAACAAGCGCATTTACATTGAGATAAAGTTCGGTTAAAAGAGGCAGCAGAGGAGAACCGACGTTGGGAGGTGCTTGCAAAGCTCCGAGCCATACGTGATCGCATCCATGGCAAGCGCATAATTCATCAGGATGACAGTGACTATTACCAGTTCGATGCAGTCATGCTTTAGCTGGAAAGAGACTCGTTGAAAGCATGCAGAACCGACGGACAGACATGACCAGAGAACCATTCATTACAATATATGGTTACTCCCACAAAACATGTTCTGGAACGTAGTGTGTTCAACGTAGTGTGGAGTAGCGCGTGACCTAATATCCCAAAGTGATGACTTTGTTGCGCAGTATGGGAATTACGCAGATTTCTAGAGGCGTGATTTCGATGAGAAAGACAGGCGTATCGGGAACAGCAGTTCATTGAGCGAGTTCTGGCGCTCCAGCGCCACCGCCGCGCTCTGAGAAGGGCGTCCTCCGGGACGATTTGCGGCGCCTCGCCTCGCCTCGCCTCAATGAGTTGGCGCTTGGAGCGGAGGCCGATGGGCCCAGCCAGCCGCCAGCCACTTTCGAGTATTGTGGCCATCTCGTGCTGGCTGCAGGGCGATTTCTCTCGGGCCGCCGCTGCGGCGCACGCCTTCGCTGCAATCGAGCCGCCATGCTGGCGCTCCTTTCTTCGGCCCTGCCGCTGCACCGCTGCACCGCCGCCTCGGGACAAGCTTGGCTCCGGGACGAGGTCTTTGCTTGGCGGGAGCCGCGGGCATATTTGTGCCATTGCCTGCGATGGCGCATACCTAGCGTCGTCAAAGGCTGAGGGTGCCCAAGGCCCCGGCTCGTCTCCTCGTGTTTCACGGGAGTCGAGGCCCTTTTCTTCCCGGCCGCACAATTTTTTTCGGCTAGCTTTCGGCCTCGGCTCGGATGCTAGACCTTTGTCGTCCCTCGTCCCCCCCATCCTCCCACATTCCCCCCCCCCCCGCTTCCTCGTCTCGTGTGACCTCCCCGTTCTTGTTATCGTCCCCGGCCTCCTTCCCCTCGCGTGCGCTTCCTCTCCCCCCCTCGCTCTCCCTCCTCTGCCTCATCCTCCTCGCATGGCTGCAGTAGCCGCTGCTCCTCCTTGCCGAGGGCCAGATCCTTTCTGCCTCCTCCCATTCTCCTGCCTCCTCCTTCCTCCGTCCTTGCCTCCTCTCTCCTCCCTCTTCTGTAGCTCTCTCGTCCCTCCTCCTACTAAACCATTTGTATTCTCCCTCCTCCCTCATCGACCCTCCTCCTTCGCTCCTCGCTCCTCACTCCTCCCCTTTTCCGCCTGCCTCCTGTTTCCTCCTCCTCCTCCTCCTCCTCCTCCTCCCTCCTCTATGGTCCCTCATCCCTTGCCTCCTTCCTCCTTGATTCCTCCTCTCTCCTCCTTGTCTTATATCTCATCCTGCCTTCATCCTCCCTCCTCCTCCTTCGTCTCCAGCCTCCTCCCTCCTAGCTCGTCTCTCCTCTCCTGCCTTCTCCTTGTCGCAGCCGGCGGTGGCGCAGATGGCGGCGAGGGGTTTTCTAACGCACGTCGAGAATGCGGCGCGCAAGGTGGTGCTGTGCGGCTCGTGGACGATGAGCAAGCTATCAGAGTGCAACACCACGCCTACGGACGTCTGCTAGGGCTGTGGTGGCACGCCGCACCACAGGTACTTCCAGTGTCCACGCGCGCGAGATGCGCGGCTCCGCGGGCAACCCGAGCGGCAGCATGTGGCGGAGCAGCAGGTCGACGATTTGCCGTGGACGCGTGGGCAGGTGCGCGACCCCTCCTCAGATTGGAGTTTTGAGACAGCCAATGAGGATCAGTACCGCTACGGCGTGATCGAGGGCGACAACGAATTCCTGGCCGACGACATCGTCTGCGATGGATCGAATCTTGGTACCGCCTGCTGGGCTCAGGCGGGTTGGGCGGCCATGGCCATCGCAGAGGAAGGCCAGTCGCGCGTGCAGCTATGGTGGCCGCTACCGTGCCAGTGCCGCGTCCAGGAGACGGTGAAGCGAGCCGAGCTCTGGGCGTTCCTGAAGACGTTCGAGGTGGTTTGTGCTGCCGCCGTGCAGGATCCTCACGGACCACAGGGCATATTGGACGGTCTGGCGCTGAGGCTGGAAGCGACCACATGCTGATCAGTGGCGGTGGATTGGGCACAAGTTGGTTGACGCAGGCCATGGCCTGGACTGCGCGCAGCGCGTCCACGCGCGCCGTTCCAAGAGGGCCATGGGCCAGCTGGAGGGCCTGGGGAGGCAGGTCGCGCAGGGCAGCGAGGCGGTGGACCTGCTTGCGAAGCGGGGGGCCGAGATGACTACGGCCACGGCAAGCAGGAGGCCCTGACGGACGTGGGGCTCGCGTGAGCTGGGCAGTGCAGAACCTGGGCTGGTGGCATCAGGAGATGAAGGGTGAGTGGCCCGATGTCCCCCCTCCTCCACCAGGCCAGCGGCGGCGACGGATTCCCAGGCTCCAGGTCAGCCTGACCTTGCGCGAGGTGGAGCAGAGGGGGCGCTGGGAGGTGCGCGGCCACGGCGCGCATGCGCAGGAAGAGGCGGGAAGCGGTGTGCAGGCCGCCTTGGCGCTTCGTGGGTCGGGCTGTGCCCGTCGAGGAGATCGGCTCGCTGGTGGTGCGGGTGGGCTAGGCGCGGGGCGAGGTCTTGCTGGTCGCCAGGTCCACGGCTTCGAGCTGCGCGTCGATGGCGAGCGCGATGGCCGCGGCGGCCGCGGCCTCAGCAGCCGCAGCAGCGAGCGGCAGCAGCAGCGGTGGTCCGAGCGGGAGGCGAGAGGACAGAAGCCGCTCACCCAGGGAGGGCGACCACGGGGCGAGCACAACTCCCGCGCTGGCTGCACCGCCCCGAGAGGAGCAGGACGAGAGGCGGCAGCACATGGTGGTGCAGGTCGGTGACCCGTGCGTGGTCTGCCGAGTGCGTGGCGCGCGCGCGCGCGGCGCAGCGGCGGGGCGGGTTCAGCAAGGCGCGCGCGGGGCCCCTCCCGCCGAGAGGTGCCACTTCAGGGACGCGACGCGCGAGAGGAGGGATCGCCTTCTGCGTGGGCAGCACCCGCAGACAGGGAAACCGCTCCCGACGCTGCTGGAGCCAGTCCAGCGTGGTGGCGCACGTCGTGGTGAAGGAGGTCAGCGAGTTGACGGCCCACGTGAGGGTGGTCTGCCAGCAACGCGACGTGGGCTGACCTCCGCGCGGCCTGCGCGGCGCGGGGGCTCCTGGCGGAACCCATCGGGGCCTCTGAAGGGAACGAAAAGAAGAGGAGGATGGATGAGGATAATGTGGACAAGGAGGATGATGAAGATGATGCAGGAGGAGGAGGAGGAGGAGGAGGAGGAGGAGGAGGAGGAGGAGGAGGAGGAGGAGGAGGTGGAAGCGTGGGGGGGGAGACGGGGGGAGGAGGACGAGTAGGAGGGAAAAGGAGGAAAAAGAAACATGGAGGGGGAGGAGGATGACAAAAAGCGAACAGAAGAGCTAGAAACCGCATGATTGCCTCTCGGAGTCTCCGGATGTCTCTGAGGCGCTTATTGGATGCCTCTTGACACGTCTGGGGAAGCTCTTTGCTGACCCAGGGCCATTTTTGATCGTCTTGGGTACCTCGGGGGTCATATTGGGGTCTCAGGGGGTCTCTGGGGAGCTTCTTGGAAGCCTCTTGGAGCCGCCTGGGCGCCTCTTGGGGCGCTCTTGGGAGCTTTATGGGCGCTCTGCGGGCCATCTTGGAGGCCGTCGATCAAATAGGAGGGGGGCAATCCCCAGAGCCGCAACAGACCTCGATCCAACGCGCTTTGATACTTCGTTGGGAAGCTCGGGGACTGTTGATTGGCTTGTCCGTTCTGTATCCGAGGTAGCGGGCAGTTGTTTTTGCGAAGCGGCCCCGGGCATTCGACAACGCAGCCCACGCCGCATTTGTTGGCGCGCTGGGATCTCCGGCAGCTTCGTACTCTCTGCCAGCCTTTCTCTCAAGATTCCAGCTTGGAGTCTGGGCAGTGAAAGTGAGGTTCAAAGGAACTTTCCGGGGACATCAGGGGCTACGGTGTAAAGTAAATAATCGAGCTTGAACCCATTGTCACGGATTCCTAGACGTACCGGCCGGTGAAACATCACCATCGAATTCATGTCAACAGGAATTTATTAAAACCTCACAATAAAGCCTCATTGCGCCACTAACACCAATGATGCTGGAACCCGCTCCCCCCCTGCAAGTGGGCGCCGCAGGCGCCAGCGCCGACGCGTCAGCAAACACAGCAAACTCCGAAAACTCCAGCACTTCGGGAGTCAGGTTCGAATATCGTGTTGCAGAAGTTGGTCACGTTACTGACTGTGTGATTTCACCGAGCGCGGCTGACATCGGGGCGTTCACCCCTCCTTGACATATTGCCGGGTGCAAGTAGACAGTGCAAATTCGGGGGCCTTGAGACGGGGTCAATGTAAAAGGGGGTCAGCCAGAGCGCCAGATCTTGCCCGATCCTGCAAAGCCAAGGGTGCACTGGCCCAGGCTTGCGTGCAGGATCTTGCGGGATCCTGCAAGATCTTGCAGGCTCTTGCAAAACCTGACTGGCCTGGGTGTGCATTGACCCCGCTCAGCTGATCCCCGGAAGGTTGCGGTGGCAGGTCAGCCTGGTAGATCGACTTCAACCTGCTGGAGCTTGCTGTGCTCGGGGCCCACTGCAGTGCGCACGGACACCGCCAGACTTCATGCCGCGTTGTAGCTCGCACGTGCTGTAGGTGGAACTGCTCGCACATGGCAACCTCGACTGCCGCGCCAAGAATCCAATGCTGCCTCGAGCTCCGGCCCATTTTTTGCGTCGGCGCGACTTTGGCCAGTGTTCTTTTCAATACCGTTAGCGTTGAAAGACTCGAACACGGGATTTCCTGACTCTGGCTGAGCAGGAGTCTCTAGCTTGCAACCGTGAGTCGTGCATTTGTAACCTGTCACTCCCGGGCAATGGTGCTCACTCGAATCAAACTCACGGCTGTCGGCCTCGCCAAAAAACGTCCCGCCTTCTCCGCTGGAAGTGCCCATCCCGCTGCATGCTGCACTGCGTTGAATGGGAATGCCCATCCCACTGCTGCGTGCTCATCTGCTCACGCTGGAAATACCCATCCCACCGCTACATGCTTCACTGCCGACTCTGAAATAACCATCGCGTTGCTGGCCTCAGTGCCGTCGCCTTCGCACTTGGTAACACCTGCCCATTGAGCACCACTGTCGGCGCCATCACCCACAGAATCTGCTCGTGGATCTTTTCCAGTGCCGCGACGGAAGACTGGTCGAATCTTAGTTGCCAGGTCGGTGGCAAGAACACTTGGTGCTTTAGATGTGAAGCTCCTCGAGCTTCTTCTTGAACTCCTGTTGGTTTCCTGCCAGATGAAGCAATTGCTCCTGTCCTTGCTCGGACAGTTGATAGAACGCTCGGCTGGTTCCATTCCCCTCGCGCAGATCATCGGCATCTTCACGGCCCAGAGTAGGGCAAGAAGCAGCAGCAGCAGAATCTTGATCCACTTGCATCGTAGCTGGCATCGAGGATGCTCGCTGGTTGATGAGCTGCTGACTTGTTTTCCACAGGCCGCTCTTGAGAGGCACCTCTGCACCCTGTGGTAGGTCCTTGTACTCGCACTGAAACAGCTCTGTGAGATCAGCCACTGTTGTAGACGCTGGCATAAATGGATCTGTCGACGCCGCCTTCGCCGTCTCGGCGAATTCAACCTCCAGTTTCGCGGTTAGCAGCTTCCTTTTCGTTCATGGCAGCCGCCCGCTTTGCAATCGACGCTTTGAGGACATCCAACTCCGCTTGCATTTTGCGGAGACTGATATGAGTCCTCGATAGTCATGTGTTGCTCGATGGTGTACATTCTGTGGTGATCGAAACTGTTCAGGTTCCACTCGGAATTCATTGACTTGGTCATTAATATGTTCAGTGAGATTGGTGAGTACCTTTTCAAGCTCAATGATCTCTGATATCGCTTGGCTTACTCAGAACTCGAACTCTTCATACCCTCCCTCAACTTCATCATGACTGCAGGCCGCCTTATGACGAAACCATGGAGGAGGAGGAGCTCCTGTTCTGCGTGTCTAAGCCTGAGACTGCTCACTCTCCTTGTCAAAGGATGGATTGACGGCCTTGAGCAATTTAGTGATCTGTGCCTCAATCTTTGAAGGTTCTCTCTTGACACCGTGTCCTGTCTGCCCTTGCCACCACCTCCGCCCTTTCATTTACCCTTACGTTTGACATTCTTGGCCTGCCGCTTGCTCTTTTGCCTGAGTCGGATTGCTGTGGCGCTGGGTTGCTGCACGAGACCATTTCTTTATTGCTTGGGGCATGACGGGCGTCATGGCCCCCGCTCCCCCCCCCACCCCCCTATGACGTAACGCTCCCCCCCCAGCGCGCTCCGGGCACTGCCGGCGTGCGCGCTGGGATCCGCGCAGGTGTCCGCTTAAGAATCCGCATAGGAGTCTGGTCCGCAGTCGTCGTCGTCGTCGTCGTCGTCGTCATCGCTCGTGGCTCGTCGCTCATCGTTGTCGTGCGCACGGACGCGGCTGGAGCCTGTTATTTGTTCTGGGCCGATCACGGCAATCATTTGAGGGGGTGTGGAGGGGGTCGATGACATCATGTTTCGCGCCGGCGGCGTCTGGGAATGCCTCGGAATGATGGAGGACGGGTAACACCAGCACGTAGGTGGCGATCTGCACCACAACGCCTGTGTACACCACAGTGCCTGCGTGCACCACAGCGCCTGTGTACACCACACCGCCTATGTACACCACGGCAGCCGCGTGCAACACAGCGTCAGTTTGTGCCACCGTGCTCGCGGGCACAACAGCTGTTGTGTACACCGCAGTGCCTGCGTACACCACATCAGCCGTGTGCAACACAGCATCAGTGTACACCATAATGCCTGCGTGTGCAGTGCCTGTGAACACCACGGCGCCTGTGTGCACCACAGCAACCGTGTGCAACACAGCGCCACACTTGCATATCGAATGTTTGAAGGAATCCGTATGACAAAATGGAGCGCTTGTGTATTCCACAGAATACAATTCAAAGGAATCCTTATGGACAAAGGAGCGCCGCTGGAATCTACGAGTTCTCCCGAGTCCGCCCGCATCACCCGAACTTCTCCCATTTGCGTCCAGGAGGCTCCAGGTAAATTGGCCTTGCGAGAACCAAGTGGACCGATTCAATTGACCATTATGCGGTGCACTGCGCGCTGAATTGCGCACGTGCGCTGTAGCGCCACCCCGCACGCCAGGGGGTAAGGAGGAGGAAGAGGACGAGGAGGAGGAGGACGACGAAGAGGAGGAGGAGGAGAAGGATGTGCAGGTGGAGGTGGAGGTGGAGGAGGAGGAGGGAAGAGGGAATAATGTCGCATTCGATTATCAGCACTGTCCTGCACGCAAGCATTGGTGTACATTCGCGCTGCGTTGCACGCGGATGCTGTGGTGTAGACAGGCGCTGTGGCGTGCACAGGCGCTGCGGTGCACGCAAGCATTGTGGTGTACACAGGCGCTCTGTTGCACATGGTTGCTGCGGTGTACACATGTACACTGGCGCTGTGATGTACGCAAGCACTGTGGTGTACACAGGCGCTGCGTTGCACACGGTTCTTGCGGTGTACGCAGGTGTTGTGGTGTTCGCGCGCGTTGTGGTGCACGCGAGCGATGTGTACACAGGCGCAGTGGGGCATATCGCCACCTACATTTTGCTCGCGTCGTCCTCGTCGTCGTCGTCGTCGTCGCTCGTCGCTCGTCGCTCGTTGCGTCGTGCACGCTGGCGCGGCTGTGGTGCCGAAACCACACGGCGGGGGGGGGGGGCGTTACGTCATACCCCCCCCCGCCCCCCCCCATGACGCCCGTCATCGCCGAACATAAAGAAACGCTCTCCAGTTCAACAGGATCCTCGAAGCCTGGTTGTGAGCCGCGCCGCACATTTAGCAACCCCAGACTGGATACTTTGGCCCTGGCAGCACCTGCTGGGATGACGCCATGAAGCGAACTCAGTTGAGCCACTGTCGCGAACCAAGGCTGACATGGATGCGCCTAGCACTGGTGCCGATGCTGATGAAATGATCCTCGCACTGTACGGTGCAAGGCTTAGCGTAGAAAGTTGAATTTGGCCGCGGACCAGCGGTTTCCATTCCCTGCTAGCACATGCGAAGACCTTGAGCCAACATGGCTACGGTGGGGTGGGAGTAGGACGAGGACGAGGATGAGGATGAGGGTGAGGAGGAAGAGGAGGAGGAGGAGGAAGTGCGGGAGGAGATGGAGGAGAAGTGTCTGGGGTAGCGTCCGTACTGCTCTAGAGCTGGCGAGGTGGAAGAGAAGGAGGCAGGAGGAAGAGAATCAGCAGGGGTACCCCCTCTTCGTCCACCCTGCTCATCCTCCGCCCCCTCCTCCATCCTTCCTCCCTCGTCCTACTACCACGGGCGGGCCCTCCGCTCAGGCCCCTGCTTCAATGACGGCGCTTGCTCAGCTGGAGGCACGAGTGAGGACGTTCGCGCCG